TCACATTTTGACACCAAACTGTGCATGTGTCATTGTCACCTCACTCTGACCACATCACATCTATTTCGTAACTGCGCCACCTATTGTTCGAAAGTGATAACCCATTAAATCATCTTATAAGTTAATGGTTATGTGATTTTTTTAGCCATTTGCCCAAAGTTCTCTCAAAATGCCCGTAATTGCTCCTTGCTGCAGTTGGTCTGCCACTCCTTGCCATTTTGGCATATGTTGCCGCTTATTGCGCTTGGCCCCGGTAATGGCTGCTTGCAGCTATATTTTTTGATTGTTATTTTCTTGTCATCACCAACGTGAGATAGGTGGAACATTTTCTTACTTGTTTTTTTACACAAACCATGAACGATTATATGAATAGTTGCATTGTATTAACGTTTCATGTACCTTATCAACTGCACTAAAGCTGGCTAAAGTTTTCTCTTGTATTTGTACTTGGAGGGTTGGGCAAAACCCTCGATTATTTAAAATCTCGATATTTCTCCATTCTGTTCGACAGCCGGTGTACTTAAAATGTCCTTGAAAATAGAGTTTATTTATCCCCAAATTCCACACAGTGAAATGATTAACCTTGAAAGGGGATTTTGGTTTAACTGTCGACATGTTTATAGCTAGTGTAATGGAGGCCAGCTAGTAAGAGCTGTGCAGGTAAACTTTCCTCCCCTTGCCTTAAGTGGCATAGTGGTTGACGCTAGAGCAGGGCTAGCCAAACCGATGGGCTATTGTTTTCAAGTAATCCGAGCACCCTAATTAGTTGGTTCAGAAGTGTCTGATTACAGTTGGAGTTAAACTCTTGCACTGGAGGCTGTGCTCTTCACAGCTGCCTCCAATGTTGGTTGACTCTGGATCAAATCCTGCTCTAAGCAGTACGATTAGGACCATTGGTGCCGTGACCCAGATGGAAATTAGGTTTAGGCAGGTTTGTGTTACATATGCCTGCTAAAGTTAACCCTTTTGTGGGAATAATAATAAATCCTGTTTAATTGCACCAGAGAAGTTATGAAAGTAACAGTGTCACGCCCTTGAGGTTTTTTACTTCCAGTATTGTGCAGTATTGTACAAGTGTTTGCTGTATGTTTGTATTCTTGCACACAGAATGTTTCTGACCTTAGGCTCTGACACGGCTGACTTGGTTTTCTGGTCACCAAACACCACATGCAACACCAGGATATCTCGCTGGTATGGTGGCTGTTTGCCCAGCCACCTGGGTTATATCTGTTTCCTAGAGTCAGATTTATCTCATGGTCATGGTCTGTGTTTGTGCATTTGGAGTGTTCTGTTTAGACCAGAAACAGAGTCTACGCAAGAGCACAACCACAGATGTGAATGTTAGACAACAAGTTGCAATTGTACATTCCCATACTTGCATTTTTTTGTAAGGGGGCGATAGAGTTTCCTTGAAATGTCTGTCTAGCTGCATTCAAAATGGCATGCAGTCAAGTCACCTTTATTTATATAGCGCTTTTTACAATACAGATTGTATCAAAGCAGCTTCACAGTGATAACATGAAAGTAATACAACACAGATCAATAATATAGTTGAATATTAAATGTCCCCTACTACGCAAGCCAAAAGCCAAGGCAACAGTGGCAAAAGTGCAGTCTGAGTAGCTACTATATTTGATAAAAAATGTGCGATAATTAAAAAGTATGTTCTATATAGTATGAATGTGTGTAAAATGAACGCTCTACGACCGCCATTTTGTCATTGTCATGTGATTAGGAGTTGTGTCAATGCCATTCACAAATCCTCTCCTGTGGCCTCATAGGATAGTAAAGTCAGATGCACACTTCAGAATCTCAGTGGAAGTACAAGGCCATTCGGGGACTCAAACCCAACAGTTTATGAATGAATTCGGACACACTACTCATTTAACATACCGTTTCCCTTTATTATATAGTAGGGAAGGCATATTTTGGATCTATAAAAATAACTTTTTCTAATTCAGCAAGATCTATTGCTCCAACATGACAGTAGTTAAACTGACTGTGAGAAAACTGACTATGGAAGGCGATTTGCACTAATGTATGTTATAGTGCTCCCTGTGGTAATGCTGAGAATGCAGAGGTGGACAGTAACGAAGGACATTTACTTGAGTACTGTACTGAAGTACACTTTTTGAGTATCTGTACTTTACTTGAGGATTATTTTTTTTCTGGAAACTTGTTACTTTAACTTCACTACATTTGAAAGACAAATATCGTACTTTTTACTCCACTACATTTCTGTCAAAGTCCTTGAGTAGAAAGTAGTGATGTTAGTCATGGCATGATTTTTTGTTTTGTTTTTGCTTCTCTAAAACGTGATTGTTTTTTGTGGCTGACAGACAGCCAATCAGTGATCACTCCTTTAGGGTCACGTGTCGGGAAGTTTGATTTAGTACGATCTGTGATCTGTGAGAGACCGTATGTTTGTCACGAATAATGTTTTAAAAGTTTTGTTTTCATGCAAATAAGTATTTATGTTGTGCTTTTTGTTAAAGCAGTATTGCTGTTGGGTAGGGATGTACCGAATATTCGGCCGCCGAAAATTTTCGGCCGAAAATGGCCCAAAAGTGCATTTTCGGTTTTCGGCCGAAAGACATTTATCACCGAAACAATACGGCCGAAATGTTGTGATGACGCAAACAGAAACCGCGACCTGCACGTGCTTGTCTGAAGCAACATGTCTGTGGTGTGGACGTATTTCAGTGCATCTGAACCCGCGATGAGAAGGAAACCTTGTTTATCCACCTATATCTGCTCTAAACAATGCGTGTCTGTGGAGACTCACGCTGCAGAGGCAGGCGAAAATATAAACAAGGCAGCGCGAGTCTCCACAGACAGCGTGCGCACCGCTCTTGACCCGCTCGCAACCGGAGTCGTCGTCATGGCGGCACGCATTGTTTAGAGCAGATAGGTGGATAAAACAATTAAAAATTATAAATAAGACTCGCGCTGCGGAGGCAGGCGAAAGTAAACAAGGCAGCGCGAGTCTCCACAAACAGCGCGTGCACCGCTCCAAACGGTCGAGGCGTTTATACTTGACGCGCTCTCCGTTGTACTATTCCTTGAAACGACAGGGGACGACTCAAGTAACTGTCCTCTAACCATCAGGAATCGGTGAGAAGAAGACAGATAAATACATGACAATGTTTATTTTTTAGTATTCCACCACCAATACAAAAATAATCATGTAAAACCCAGTAAACCCTAAGATTATTACTTGTGACATTACAAAAAAATATGTATATGGGAACATGTATGTATAGAACTAAATTAATGCTCTCGTAAATATTTTCTACATTCACTAAACATGTTTCATTAAGTTTCATCTACATTTGTATTAAACATGGACCATTGTTCATTTAAAAAGGTTTTTTATGCTATTGTATGCTAAATTTTTAAAATGTAACTAATTTAGACATGCAAACTGGGTGCTAGTGTGATGAGAAGTTTGCGCTCGGCTTTGTTTTTGAAAGAACATTTCATTTTAAAACCTTTCTGCAGGCCAGTAGATTATTATTTAGTGTACACATGAGTGGGGTCAAGTTAAACATTTTAGTTTGAATTCTATTTTATACTGTGCATTGTGCTAAATGAATATTTGCATAATTTGCAATTGATTTATTCTTTGAAAATGTCATATTAATTTATGCAATTGCAATGCCTTGATTTTAGTAAAGTTTGTACACAGTCATAGCCATAAATGCAATGATACTAATAATTGGCATAATTTCTTTCGGTGTTTCGGTTTTCGGCCTTAGTTTCCTGTTTTTCGGTTTTCGGTTTCGGCCAAGAATTTTCATTTCGGTGCATCCCTACTGTTGGGCAGTTATACAGTTATGGTTGTGTAGCTATTTTGTATTTACAGACCATTTGAATGAATGGATACACACAGATGTGTACTTTTGTTGGAGTGGTAGGAGTGTTGAAGTGAAAATGAAGATGATTATGGCTGTCTTTATATATATATATATATATATATATATATATATTCAGTTGTTCAATTTCTATAGGTTTTGTGACATTCTTAAAGTTCCACACTACAAAACTACAAACTGGTCAATGTATTCACTGGTTGCTTCAGAGGCATAAGGTTCTTTAATAATGCATCAATAATATAACAATGCATTAACATTTACTTTATACTTTTGGTAATCAAGTACTTTTAAAAACAAGTACTTCTGTACTGTAAAGTAAAAATCGGTCTTTACAACTTTTACTTGTAATGGAGTAATATTTGACAAGTAGTATCTATACTTTCACTCAAGTAATGTAGTTGTGTCCACCTCTGTGAGAATGCAACTCTCTCTTGAAAGCAAGCTAGCAAAGAAGTGTTCATGTCCTTGCCTATAGTATGTTTCAGGCCAGAGAGAGAGTGCAAGAAGAGATCTGTAAGTGTGCAAGGATTTTTTTCACAGTCACGAAGCAGGGATTTAATTTTTAAGGATTTAGGATTTTAAGCCAACGCAGAGCGGTGTGGTAAAGAGGTGTTTGTGAGAAAGAGTGAGTGAGTTTCACTCACGGTCATCTCTGTGGGATCCTGTTTCAGGCTTGCCAATCATAATGAAGGGAATCCTTAGTGAGGCATAACTTCTCTGGAAGCAAGCCTTATAAAGCTGTCTGCTTGTTAGCAGTACGAGAGAGAGAGAGAGAGAGAGAGAGAGAGAGAGAGAGAGAGAGAGAGAGAGAGAGAGAGTGGGGGGGGGGGGGGTATAGAACAAGCAAGTCACAAACAGATCTCTATGGAGAAATGTCAGCTGCTTATAGACTGCGCTTGGAATTCTGTAACTCTGGCACTTTGGAACTGGTGAGCCCAACTTTCTTTCTTTCTGCATTTCTTTCTCTCTCTTTTCCTGTCAGAAAACAATAACAGATCTGTTTCAGGCACTGGACAGTAGTAGAGTGGGTGGATTCACGTTATCTGGACTAGATATTGCTCCGCAATCTGTCTGTAACCACAATCTCTCTCTCTCTCTCTCTCTCTCTCTCTCTCTCTCTCTCAGAGAGCTCATCGCATGGTCAGGATATAAGCACTGCTGTTCCTGAGCAGTTCACTGGTCTGCTTCACGGTTCCTCGCCGGTGGTCGACTGTCGGGAGGAAGCGTTCAGACTGCCGTCCTCTGCAGGGAAGTCCGGTGAGGCTTCAAACACTTCCACATCGGCGAGCTCTGCTTCCCATTCCAAATCAGCGGTCACCATGGAAACCATTCTCCAGGACACTGACCCCAAAGCTATCTACGCCACCGTCCACAAAGAGCCGCGAGATTCACCGAAACACAACTCGCCGGCCCGAGATCCTCCGTTGACGAGAAGGATGCCTCCGCCGGGGGATCTCAAGCTAGCGCGTAGCCTTTCCAAGTCCGACTCCGACCTGCTGGTGTCCCCGCCCGGTGAGGAAGAGACGGGATTGGGTGGGAGAAGTGAGTCCGTGTCCAACTGCAGCACCGCCAAGAGAAGGCTGGAAAAATCACCTTCGTTCACGTCAGAATGGGATGAGGTAAGAGCTCCCCCTGGTGGCCTGGATGTCTTTCTTACATGCTATACGACACACAAAAAATAGGAAATACAGGAAATTTTTCAGACACCAACATTTTTGCTAAAAATGCTATTGAGTGCCATTTTCAAATTTTGGCTGAAAGATTTGAAATTCGTTAGTTCAGGAGGTTTGATTGTGAAATTGTTCTTTGTTGTGTATTATTTAGCTCTTTGTTGCTGTTGTGAACTGGAGAATTTGCAATAGACAAAAGCCAGTTTGTTTGAGATTCACTTAAAGATCGTTAGTTTTAGGAACATTTGTTTCAGAAAAGAGTTTGATTGGCGTTTTTGAATTTTTAGGTTTATACAGCTATTATGAAAATAATATTTAATAATTTAAATGTAGCTTCAGCCTGGAATATGAAATGATATGCCATTTATTCTAGTTGTTTCAGTTTAGATTATTCAAATATTGTACAACATTTTAATAGTTTTAGTTTAAATAGTATGACGGTGAGACCAGTTGGAGGAAGAATGTGTCGTGATCACTTTTACAAATATATATATATATATATATATAAGTTAGAGTTATTCCTAATTTAAAAGTACTATTTTCAAGGTGAATCTTTATTTTAATTGCAAGTGTTTAAAACAGATATAATTCAAAGTGTCTGAAATTAACTCTTCCCCGCCGTTATACGGTAGGGGGCGCTATTACACACCCTCTGGAAGAGTTCAGAATCTCAGGAGAAGCAGAAACAGGCGATATCATATGTAATCATGTAAAATAACGGCATTAAACAGCATATAAATCAATGTTACTGAATGAAATGTCGACCGAGGACGAGCTGTAGGACTGTGAAGCTTTGGGATCAACTCCATCTGTGTTTTGATCGCCGTCCTGTATCTCATCCAGGCGTAGTCTTTGACAAAAACACAATTTTGCTGTTCTTTCATTTGATATATTTCATATTCAGATATTCATACAATAAAATATTCTGTTGGCCTTGAAACTTTTGTGAAAATGCTGGCGGGGAAAGAGTTAATGGCACAGATAATTGTTAGTCGCTGAAGTCCATTGGGAAGTATGAATGAGATGCAGGGAATGAATGGTAAATGGTGACCTTTTCAGTCTATCATTTCTCTGCGGAATGACTTAAAGGGAAATGTAAATGCAGATTTGGGTTCATACAAGCCATCCTCTCTTCCAGCGTAATATCTTATGCTGTCTGACAGCTTTTGTGGAATTTAAAGTTGAATTCGTTCTTTCCGTGGAACACGCCGGTATTGTACGTTTTCTGTGGGTGTTAAAGGAATGCTCTGGCTTCAGTACGCCTCATCTTTGTTATTGAAGTTATTCCCAGTCTTTCCAGGTAAGTTTTCCACAGTGTGCATACTTCCAAGATTGGAGGTGATGTAAATTCCTTGTTTACATGGAACTGAGCAGATAGTTTGCCAGACCATTGCCTTGAATCAGCAGAAGAACATAAAAATCTGTCTCCTTCCAGTGGTCTGCATATCTTCACTGTCAAACGATGAAAAATGGCCTACAGCAGTCTAAACAGAAGACATCTGCTGTGTGTTTACCTGACACTAGGTGCACGATAAGTCCACTCAGAACAGTAGTCCCACTCTAAAACACAACTGTTTGATTAATAACACACTTTTTTTAATGTAAGTGTTTTAATAATATTATGAGTTTCACGTTTCTACCTTCTAAAGTGAACAATGCTCAAGTTTTTAACCGTAACTGCAATTTCCGCTGCTGATTGAGCTTAACCGACCATTCCTTTAAAGATTGCATGTCCTGTTTGGCCATTTCAAGAAGAATGTGAAAGGAAACGCCATTCGCCATTACCGTTGCTTTGGCTTCAATCTGAAGATCTAGACATTGGATCCAAACACTCAGGGAATCATGCACAGTTTCCATCAGCTGGTCTTACACTCTTACAGGCGAGACGGTCACGGGTAACAGAAGACTGTTGCCAAACACCCTCTAGTTCCACTCGAGTGTGCCAATTAGGGATGTACGATATATCGGCCACCATATCTGTATTGGCCGATATTTTTAACGTCATCGCTATCGGTCTGGTAAGAAAATTTGGCCCATATATTAAAGCCGATAAATAATGTATGATTTCCTTCAGCTGAGCCACTTCAGATGCTCACTGTTTGAACTGCTTGAAATATGATTGGATTCACTTCAAAAATGGAAAATACAGTTCAGTGAGTGCAACATAAGAACATTATGGGTCGGGACATGGCAGAATTATTATACCTCAGTTTTTGGATCTGCAAGAATAGAGGGTTTCATAATGATCCATGCTGTGACCAAGTTTTTCTAATTTTCGAATCGTTTTTCTCTCATCTTTATCATGGCCTTATCACCATGACGATAACCTTACTCTGTGGGTCAGGACAGGACGCATGCCCTCTATAATACAATAACAACCTGATCTGGATGTGTTGGGGCCTATTCATTTGACACATTTGATGTGAAGTGACGAGAGGTCAGGGAGAAATCTCTCCTGCTGATAACAACTGTGTTCTGTTCTTCATCTGTCGACCTGGGCTTTGTCCTTTGACTTGTTTTCTGTTTTTCCTTCTGCCTCTCCGTCTCTCTCCCTGTTCGGCATGTTTCTGTTGCCAAGCATCTGAGATTTGTGTGGAATTTCTCCAGTGTTTAGTCATAAAACACACACTGTCTCTTTGCTTTCCTACTGTGTCCATGATTGTTACTCTCTCCTGCCCTCTGCTGGAGAAACATCTATCTATCTATCTATCTATCTATCTATCTATCTGTCTGTCTGTCTGTCTGTCTGTCTGTCTGTCTGTCTGTCTGTCTGTCTGTCTGTCTGTCTGTCTGTCTGTCTGTCTAGTCTCCTATCTATGTACTGTATCTGTCTGTCTGTCTGTCTAATCTAGTCTATCTATCTATCTATCTATCTATCTATCTATCTATCTATCTATCTATCTATCTATCTATCTATCTGTCTGTCTGTCTGTCTGTCTGTCTGTCTGTCTGTCTGTCTAGTCTCGTCTCCTATCTATCTATCCATCTATCTGTCTGTCTGTCTGTCTGTCTGTCTGTCTAGTCTCCTATCTATCTACTGTATCTGTCTGTCTGTCTGTCTAGTCTCCTATCTATCTATCTATCTATCTATCTGTCTGTCTGTCTGTCTGTCTGTCTGTCTGTCTGTTTCATCTCATATCTATCTACTGTATCTGTCTGTCTGTCTCTGTCTAGTCTCCTATCTATCTGTCTGTCGGTCTGTTTGTCGGTCTGTCGGTCTGTCTAGAAATATCTGTCTAGAGATATTTATATATCTGTCTGTGAAATCAGTCAGATTGTTTGTTCCATTTAGTGTTTCAGAAACGGGGTCTTGTGAAGAAACAGAAGTGTTTTCTGACGACAGTAATTGATCCTCTCTCTGTAAAGGGAAACTGTAACAGCTGTGGTTGATGATCCTGTAGCTTCAGTGAGGAACAGCAGCCAACATTCACTTTTCTCTCTTTGGATCCGTGTGTGAATATTAGTAAACATGCTTTTATTGAAGAGCCTCAGCAATTTCTTGATAGTTTCAAACAATGGTACAACTGAACCGAGTCATCAGGAAATCAATATCCACTCTTTTCAGTTTCTGAATACAATGACTATCCAAAGTCTGAGTAAACATTGAAAATCTTATTTAAACCTGAAATCAAATCTTTCATAATCTAAAGAGTGTTTGATGGGGAAAAAACAGATCTCTCTCCACTCTACAAATGCGTCATTGGATATCTTATTTCACTCAGGAATATGTCAAATATCAGATGCAACATGAATGCAAATGTTCAATGTTGACGTTAAATCAACATAAGCATCTTCTCTGCCTTCTGTCTGAACAGCAGGATTTATATCCATATGTTGTCTCTCCTGCGTCTCAAATGTTCGAACAGCGGTCTGTCATCATTCCTGTTGTGTGTTCTCAGTCCGTCTCTCTCTTCCTCCTCCCCCCGCGGTCACGGCTGGCTGGCCCGGGACACTTCGCTGCCCTGAGTGACAGCGTGTGGGTGCAGGAACGCACAACACCCATCACTTTCCCTCTGTGTGTGTGTGTGTGTTCATCCTCTTCACACTCACGCACACAATCTCACACAGTCTAATTTTGATACAAAGGAGATTTTGACTTGCATGAGGGTGTGTGTGTGTGTGTGTGTGTGTGTGGCAGGGGGTTGGGAGGGAAAGGCAGCTCATGCTAATACAGCCCGTCTCAGGATTAGACTGAACGGGACGGTGTGGGAAGCTCTCTGTAGGGGCCAGCAAGTTTAGGAAGGAGGTCTGGCCTGAATGTGGAGATGCAGTCAGCCCGAGGGAGTTAAACGAGGGAGTCGCGTCTCCTCCGTCTATGCATTGGTTCGCCCGACGTCCCGTCCAGGCCGAATGGCTGCCACCCGACCAGCGTTTGTGAGTGCGGTTTGTTTTCTACCTATCGGCTGCTCTGCTCGCATGATGACGTTGTTTAAAAGCGTTGGCAGGTACGTGGGGTTTAATGCTGACGTCCACTACTTTCTCGATGGTGCAAGTCTTGGGAGGATCCAAGAATATATTTGCCGCTATAGAGATTGATGTAGTATGTGCTTGAAAACGCAGAAAGAATTGTCATTGATATCTTGACCAATCTTTTCTCTTTCAATTTTGGTCAATTGCGTATTTACTTTAAAGTTGATGCCAATTTTTAAACCCTTAATATCTTTTTTCACTTAAAAAAACAATATTTTACGTTTTTATGATTATCAAACAAAATAGACTTCTGTAATAAAATGAACTGTTTGTTGTTTTAGATGAATGTCACACATTTACGTGATTAGCATATGAAACACTCTTAGAAGAAAAGGTTCTATATAGAACCTTAAAAAGTTCTATCAGCGCTACGTATTTGGAATAATAAGAATGCTTAGGGTTCTTTGTAACCAGGAAAAAGGTTCTATATGGAACCTTTTGGGTTCATTCATTATCATTTGTTTTGTCCTTTCCGGATT